TGATTCCCCACTCCTCCTCCACTTGCACCTGGCTGGATGACCTTGGGCAAGCCGTAGTTCTGATAAGAGCTGTCCTGGGAAAAGAGCCATTTCTGTCAGAGCTCTCTCAGCCCCACCCACCTCGCAGGGTGTCTGTTGTGGGGAGGGGAAGGGAAAGGAGTTTGTAAGCCGCTCTGAGACACCTTTGGGTAGTGAAGGGCGGGGTATAAATCCAATCTCTTCTCTTCTTCTTCTCTTCTTCTATACGTGGAAGTTCCATTTGGTTGTACAGTGTCAGACTGGCCATCCTGTGGCCCTGGCAAGGCAGACGCCTCCCTCCCTCTCCCAGCACCCAGCCTGGAACAAAGGGGGGGTGGTCTGGCCACAATACCTTTGCAACAGGAAGCCTGAGGAACCCAGTGGCCCACTGAACAGGGCCCACACCTCTCCCTTTACCTAGCCTGGGGACATGACTAACGTCGCCACAGCAGCCCGCCAGGTACAGGAACAGTCTTCAGGCCTCCCTTGCTGAGGAGCGGGCAAGGAAGATGTGGGTCTCATCACTGGCAATCTCAGGGTGGAAACTTTGGTTGCACTCAGACTCAGGATTAGGGCTCCTGAGCTAGGTTCCCTCTAAGCTGCAGTTTTCTAGCCTCCAACTCACACGTTTTTGTCTCAGCTCAGGAAGGATGGCTCCAGAGCAGACTAATTGATGCAGCCGCCAAATGGCTCGCTCACAACTTTCATGCCAGGAGCTCACGAAGCAGAATTTTGGCTCATAAGACTCCACAGCTTAGAGGGAGCCTTGGTCCCGAGCTGATGGTTCAGCTGGGACGTGCGTGGAAGACACCTTTTAGTGTCCAGCTCACACATTTTTGTCTTCGCTCAGGAAGGAGGGCTCCAAAACAAATTGATTTCTGCAGGAGCCAAATTGCTCGCTCACATCTTTAATGCCAGGAGCTCACAAAGTAGAATTTTTGCTCACAAGACTCCACAGCTTGGAGGGAGCGTTGGTTGGGGGGGTGGGGCTTTCTAGCAGCTCCGTGGGGCTGAAGGCACTGCCATTCCCTTCTCCCCTCTTGGGGTGTGCCTCATCTCCCCCTTTCATCTCCCCTTTCCTTGACAGCCAGCCCACCAACCTTCCTTCCCTTTTCCCCCGGGCAGGGGCAAATGAAGGCTCACTGGTGCCCTCAGCACTGACCAGTCTTGGCGCCCCCCCTCCTTTCCACACTGACCCCCAGTCCATTTCTGTGGTTGACCGGTCTGACCAGATAGACAATGCAGGTTGCAGCCCTACAAAAATCCACTCATATGGTAACACAATATGCTGTACAAACTAAGCTTTTCACCCTTTCCCCAACTTTGTGGTGCCCCCTTTGGCCCTGGTGCCCTAAGCACCTGCTTCGTCTGCTTCATGGTTCCTCCGCCCCTGCCCCCGGGTGTGCAGAGAGCGTCTGGACTCCTGCCTTGGAGCACGGAAGCCACGGCGGCGGCGGCTGACAGCTCGGCTCCTTTCATCTGGGCCAGTGTTTTAGACCGGTCTAAGAGTTGGCGTGGGCAGGAACGGGGTCGCGGGAAGCTGTCCTCCTGGGCCCTGATCCCCCCTTGCTCCAGAGCAGTGGGTGCTCCCCGGCCCGCCTCTCTTGCCTTTGCAGGCACAGAGCCTCTCTTTCTTGACGGCAGCAGCGATGGCTCAGCTGGCCCAAATCTGTCAAGCTGTCCTTTGCTGGGACTCGGAGAGGGGCACAGCTCCTCCACGGCCTTCAGTCGTCCTGACAGTGACGGCGACACCCCAGTTCCTGCCGCCGGAGGCAAGAGACGGTTCGTTGCCAGGTGCGAGGCGGGGGAAGGAGAAGGAGTGCGGCTTTTGGCGGAGGGATTCCCGTTGCATCTTGGCCCTCCGAGGCCTCTGCAATCCCTCCCAGGTGTGGAGGGCCTGTCAGTCTTGCAGAGGGGAGGGAGCACTCTCCACCCAGGGCTGAGGACCAGAAAGATAGCGGGGCGGGGTCTACAAGAAAGGTCTTTGGCCATAGTGCCAGCCCCCGCCCTTCCAAGCAGCGCTCCCCTGTCTCCAGCGGAGGCTTTCGAGGCCTCCTGGTGCTCGAGAGAAGCGCCACTCCCTTCTGGGCATTTGTTTGCACTGCCAGGCCAGGCTTCTTGGGGCAGGTGGCTGGCTTTCATCAGCTGCGCCGTCCCCTGGATGTCCACGTGGAGCCGCCTGCCTGAGGTTTGTGGGGGTCTCATCGTGCCCCCTCGGGCCTGCAGCTGCTTCTCGCTTCTCCTCCTTTCCCCCCGCCAGCTGTTCTCCCTTCAGAAACATCAGCCGGAGAAACAGCTGTGGGCACACCCGTCTGCCCACGGGGTCGCTGCGCATTCTGCCCCAAAAGGGGGCTCTGAGCCTGGGCTGGGGGCAAAGTGTGGCTTCAGGGCACGTCTGGTTGTTCCCCCGGAGGGTGGGTGGATATGCTTCACTTTCTTTCCGCAAACGGGTTCAGAGCACCGGTCGTGCTCACCCAGTGAAATGTCAGCGTGAATCAAAATGTCAGCGCCTGGTCATGCTTTGGAGCAACATGTTCCCTTGTAGCCCCATGTTCTTTCTGCCTCGATGTCAGCGCCAGACGTAGGTGGCACATTTGTGCACCAGCAGTGGTCAACTAAGAGAGTGATCCTCAGCAGGTCTGCTTGGAAGCGAGCCCCGTTTTATTCAGTGGGGGCTACCTCCCGGGAAAGTATTGTTCTGATTATAGCCTTAGTGGTGGGCATGCACAGAGTACGGCTGTCCTTGTTCTTGGTCTGTTGCATGCAATGTTCCCTCTAAGCTGTGGAGTCTTGTGAGCAAAAATTCTACTTGGTGAGCTACTGGCATTAAAGTTGTGAGCGAGCGATTGGGCTGCTGCATAAATTAGTTTGCTCTGGAGCCCTCCTTCCTGAGCTAGGACAAAAATGTGTGAGCCGGAGGCTAAAAAACTGTGAGCCAGCTCACATTAACTCAGCTTAGAGGGAACACTGGTTGCATGTATGTTGGCATCATTATAGGATTCACTGTCGCAAGGTGTCGGAGGCTACAAAACTGTGAGCCAGCTCACATTAACTCAGCTTAGAGGGAACACTGGTTGCATGTATGTTGGCATCATTATAGGATTCACTGTCGCAAGGTGTGAGGGTGGTCTCTGGCTCCGGACCCTTCAGAAAGCAATCCTGGAGGTCCCAGGACTATTCACACGGCCTCCTTGTTGCAAGGCAATGGCCCCGGGCCTCCCCACTGGGAAGGGGACAAGCGGATCGGCAGTGACCACGGTCAGCCAGAGGATGCTGGGTGATATGTTGTCGAAAGCTTTCACAACTGGAGTTCATTAGCTGTTGTAGATTTTCCGGGCTGTCTGGCCGTGGTCTTGGCATTGCAGGCCCTGATGTTTCGCCTGTAGCTGTGACTGGCATCCTCAGAGGTATAACACAGAAAGACGGAGCACTCTCTGTGTCAAGGTGAGAAGAAGAAAAAGGGTAGGCAGGTAATTTATGTCTACTCAGGAAGGTGGGGTAGGTGAAACATGCTAATGGTGGAGCTTTCCTGAGGAGGTTCTTTTGTGTATGGATTGGGTTGTTTCCCGAGGAGGTTCTTTGGCATATGGATTGTTTCCTCTGAGGATGCCAGTCACAGCTACGGGCGAAATGTCAGGTCCTACAATGCCAAGACCACGGCCAAACAGCCCGGGAAATCTGCAACAGCTAATGATGCTGGGCGAGATGTTGTTTCCTTGATTTGCATCCTGCCTTTCTCGCGGTGGCTCAGTGGTGAAGATGCTTAGCTGCAGACTGGAAGGTTGGTAGTCCAGCAGTTCGAGACCCGAGTTCCGTGTGACGGAGTGAACTCCCATCTCTGGCCCCAGCTCCTGCCAACCTAGCCGTTAGAAAGCAAGGAATTGCAAATAGGTAAATAGGTACCGCTTCGGTGGGAAGGTAACAGCGTTCCGTGCACCTCGGCATCTAGTCATGCCGGCCACGTGACCACGGAAACGTCTTCGGACAGCGCTGGCTCTTCGGCTTGGAAACAGAGATGAGCACCGCAACCCTAGAGTCGGATTCAACTGGCTTTCGAGCAAGGGGAACCTTGACCTTTGGGGGCCCAGAGGGGCTTACACGTTGCTCCCCTCTCCTCTGTTTTATCCTCACAACAACCCTGTGAGAAGGCCTGCCCATCTCCCAGTAGCAAGTAACACAAAAGGTACAAAAGATCAAACCATGCATAAATAAGAAAAAATATATATATTCAGCATTCAATGAGTAATAATCTAAAGTAAAGTAAAGGTAAAGGTCTCCCTTGCT